GGGGGGGGGGGGCGCGGAATAATTGCTAACTGAAAATACCTTGTTGCAATTTCCCCTAGGTTAGGGTGTTCAGCAGTTCCTGTTGCTGAATGGGAAAGAATTGTAAAGCATCCTGTCCCCAAACAGGATGTGTAAGATAAATGTGATTATTCAATAGTGCATGGATGAACTCATTGTGGAAGCATTCAAGCACAGGTTAACCAACCAGGATGTCAGATTATCAAGGTCTGATTTGAAACTGTATCAGAAGAACGAGGAAAGTAATCATTCTGAATATGGGTTGCTTGTTTTTTTTCCATGGAAGCTTTCTGGGGAAAATATCATCCCCTTGAATTCCAGACAAGGAAGTTGATGCTTTTTAGGAGAAGTGTTTCTTGTTCCATTCTACTTAGAAGAACCTTCCCTCCAGCCTTTTTCAGTGTCTTCTCCATAGCTGCTGCAGATTGAAAGGCCCAGAACCTGAGGTGATCACAGGTGGTCACCTGTGATCCTGCTGGAATCGAGTCTTCAGAAAAATTGTCCTTGCTTGTTCCCCCCATCCAGTACCCAGCAGTGTGGAAACTGGTGCAGAAGTTTCCTCTCTGCCACCTCTTCCTGCAGGCTGACTGGCCTTAGACAAGAGAGCTAACCCTTCCCTTCTACCCTATCCTCTGAGGGCTGCAAACGAAGGAAAAAATGCCTAAAACGACTCACACCAGGATAAATGTGTTCTTGAGCACAGTTGTACTTGTCTGAGTAACCTCACTGGCCCTTAATATTGACTGGTGTTTTTATGGGAGGGAGAGGGAGGCGGGAGGCATTTGTGAGATTTAGCAGAGGAGCCTGAAATGGTCACTTATGTCAGCAGTGTTGTCTTACACCAGCTGCAGTTGATTTCTGGCCTGCAGGAACTGTTTCTGTGGTAGCTCTGGAGTTCCTGTGCAGGTGTCTGCTGTGGGTTTTGCAGCCTCAGCAGTGGGACAGCGAAGTCCTCAGGATGTCTTCATGCAAAGAGAAAGTCTTCCTTTCTGCTGCTGCACCCATTCTGACCCAGCCTCACCGAAGGCTGAATTCTCTCCTTTTGCAAAGCCAGCATATTGCTTCATTTCCTGTCAACAGAGGAGTGTTCTGATCAGGGCAAGTCTTTAGTTTTGAAATTTGTTGGTGGAAATGAAAGACATCTAAGCATCTGCTGGGAAGAGGACATTGAGTAAGCAGTTAGAAGTGTCCTTTTTGACCCCTGTTATGTTTGGGGTTGGAAGACGTGCTCAGGTTCAGGAGTATTAGTGCTGTTTCTACCTTTATCTTCTCTCCTGGTTAGTCCTTCAAACCATTTAATCATAATATTGTAGCTGGTCCAGCGGAATTTGTTAAGTTGCAAAAGAGGAGCAGCAGAAAGTAAATAAAATGCCAAAATCGACAAAGCAAAGTCTGTGAAACTGTGAAAGGTAAGTTTGTCCAGTGCAGGCTGACTAAAGGAAGACAGACGTATATGCATAGCTCATGATTACAAAGATATCTTTTTTTTTTTTTTTGCAGGCATTATTACAGGAAAACCAGATACAGGTATCTGAATGTTTTTATACCCAACTTACTCTGAAATGCTAGACTAAAACAAATGATATGCCAGGCAAGGAAACACTGATTTAATCATTTTGGGGACAAGACTGTTTTGCATCAGGAATCACCTGAATCCTCTTGAAGGCCTGTATCATCATGCTCAGAAATACAGTAGTCAGCTGAGAAAGGATGTTTGCTGAGTTCACCTCTGCATTTTTTCAAAAATAACCACCTGGTAGCATAGGGTATTTTTTAGAGGAGTGTAGTCTGCATATTCAACACCTTGGATTTGATGTATCCTTAAGTAGTTAAAGTATGATGCAACTTATCTTTCTGAATGCATCTTGACTAACAACAGAGGTTACTCCAAACATAGTGAAGAATTTGAGCTGATGCTATGAGAGTAAGGCCACTGCTGCTCAGGAGAGTTTGTCATGTAAGAGATGGACAGATTAACTGGAACTGCAAGAGGAAGGAAATGTGTTGGTCACGTTGAATTTTTATCTGTTTTCCTTCTTACCTATTACAAGATAGAAAAGTAAGTGAATGCTTCTGAAAAATGTGAGTAAATGGCTGGAAATGGGAAGATAAGCCTGTTCACATCCAAGAAAAGTTAAGTTGTTGGGAGATGTACAAGAGAACCTTTAGAGAGGCAGCAGAGGCCAAAATGAGTGAGGTAGGAATGTATTTCCTTTCTTAGACTGGAAATGAAAGGAGGGTTTTGTGCAAGGTGCAGAAGCAGTTTGATGGAGTAGCAGCTAGGGGAGGGCAGCATGTTTATTTTCAAGGGTGTTGCAAGCTGAGGTACAGTGCTGTCCCTGCGTGGAGGGAGGGAGAAAGGCTGGTGCTAAATGAAGCAGGGTTTTTTGCTGGATAGATTTTTACTGGTTAAGTTTGAGGTGGAAGTGAGTCAGAAGAAACTTGCTCTTTTTTTATCCATGTAGCAATGTATAATATTACAGAAAACGGTGAGAAGCTGGTCAGCTCACACATTTAACGCAGAGACACAAAGTACTTGGTGTTCAAGGAACTGATCAAAAGTTTTCTGCCTTTCTTACTCTGTTCTTTCTGCTCCTGGAGAGATGGTGTGAAGAAGAATTGCAGACCATTTTTATTTGTAGAAATGTAAGTCTTTTTGCCACAGGTAGAAGATTGCTATCCCTTTTAATTATCTGAATCTGTTTATCCATCTCTTTAAAACAAATTTGCTGAAAATTGTTAGCACTCTGCTTTCCATCAGTCTGCAGTAGATGAAAGTCTTGTAAACCTTGTGCCCTTTGTATAGCTGGGAAATAAAATTAATTTATTCTCAAACAAGGTTTCCCAATTTTACATAAATGACCCAGTGTAAACGTGTTTGGTTTTGAAAAAATATATAGCTGAATATTTTTTCCAAAACACCCGAATCTACTTAGCAATTGATATTCATTGAATAGATTTTTCTCTTTTTAGCCAGTAAATTAGTAAGTTACTTTCACTTTTTATCCTGTAAAAAGTGAAGTTAGGCCCCTAGATGTTGTCACAAAAAGGAGGATATGGTCAAAATGGTGTGGATGTG